CTCTCTCTTTCTCCCTCTCTCTGTGAGACTTCACTTAAGACACAGCTGCAGTGTTTTCAAGCTACATACTAATGCTAGCATAAACTTGCTGATGTTTTACCATCGTTGTTTAGTGTTTTAGTATTTAACGTTCCTCCGATTCTTGCTTTTTGTTTTATCTCTCAGTCTGCTTGATTGAGTTTTTTTTCTTCTATATTTTATTAAACATTTGTTTAATGAATTGTTATCTTTTATCACTTTATTCTTATTTTTTATTTGTATTTATTTGTTTGCCGACATGTGCTTTTAAATAAACATTTTGCTCATAAAGAGCGTAAAAAAGAGGGGAAAAGATTTATACCCATTATAATATGTTTTCTTTAACAGACTAGAGATAAATTAAAAATAAATAAGAAATAATAAGGACCTACTTAACATATTTTCTACAGTATTGATCATTAAATGTCAACCTGCTGCTGTAAAAACAGGCGATCAATAATAATCAGTTGGATTCATCCTCTGGGGACCATGAACACGACATATTTCGTCCCCGTCTGGACGAAGGTTGTTTTAAACTCTGTGTCTTTACTTCGAGACGTTCTTTTAACACTTCGATCAATAATTTAACAAAACTCAAAATTTTACCACAAACAAACTAAAATAGATAAAAACTAAAAACAAGATTGCGGCTTTTTGTCGGTTGATAGAGACGTAAAAGATGAGTCCGGGAGAGGGTTTCATCCCTCAATGTATCTGGGGAGGGCGCAGGTGCAGCTCACGGGGATTTCAATCACCTCCTTCTTCAGCAGGTATTTGTTGTCTTCGGTCGGGCAGGGGCTTCTTATCAGGACCATCAGCGGAGCGAACACCTGGACCGAGTTGTAGGTCAGGTCTTCGCGCTGGTCGATGATGCAGCCCTGACAGACGCACTCAGCGAAGGCGATCTTGTGAGGGACCCGGTCGTCGCTTCGGTTCAGGCTGAGACAGACAGACAGACACCGATCAATCAATAACTGGGAACCAATCACACTGAGGGCCTGACCTGTGTTTGTGATTTCAAAAGTTTAGCTTACTGATCAAAAGTATTAATCATAATAATTAATAATGATTTAAAGAGTTATTGATCAGCTGTTAACAGATCAAATACAACCACTATATACTACCAATACCTTTATCAATCAATAAACTATAATGAAAACTTTATTGATCCTGGTGGGAAATTCACAAACTACCAATCAGCATATAAAGTAATAAAGATCAATGTTAATCAGCTTCAGCTTTAAACTGATGATTAATCAATAATCAATAATTATAATACAATAAAATAAAATACTTTGTTCTGTACTCTATAATCAATACTTTGACGTTTGGTACTTTAAGTATTTTTTGATGCTGATACTTGAATGAATTACTTTTACACTGTAGAGTAATAAACTACAGTAATATTCCTTTTACTTTAGTAAAAGATCAAAGTACTTCCTCCACTGCAGTAATAGAGTATTATGTATTAGTACTTTTACTTTAAATACAGCAGTATTAGTACTTTTACTTTGGTACTTTAAGTATATTTTGATGCTGATATGCTACTACAGCACTAGTACTTTTATACTTTTACTTCTACCACTATTCTGACTGATTTCTTCCCACTCTCGTTATCACTGCGCGCTTTTCTCCCCCTCCGGCCGCCGTACTGTCACTCACCTGTACCTCCACGGGGACAAGGCGCGCTTGTTCAGGTCTCCCTGCAGCTCTTCGACCGCCTGCTTGCAGGTCCTCGGCTCCGGTTCGGCGGAGTCCTTCAGCCCGGTGCGCCGGTAGGACCGGAGGAACGCATCGGCCCGGCTGTCGAACTGCTCCTTGCTCACACATGTGGACCTGGAGGAGGCCTGGTTGTTGAAGATCAGCAGCGACCACAGAGAGATGAAAAGAGAGACAGAGGGAGAGAGGAGGGAGACAGGGAGACAGAGGGAGAGAGAGGGGAAGAGAGGTAAAGAGGAAGAGGGAGCCATTTCCATTTGCAGACTGCAAATCATCTTGGACCTGCACAGGTTTGAGTCCGGCAGCTCCATTGGACCCGGTTTATATAGAGTCTGTGTGTCTGTGTCTGTAGATCTGAGGTTGGAAGTTTCTAAAGCGCCTGGTTCCTCCTGCTGGAGCTGTGAGAGTCTGACCCCGCCCCCCCGAGCTGGGCGGTGTAGTTTCACTTTATTAAAAAAACACACCTCACTTTTTACTCTCCTGATTCATCATCGTCCCGTTATTATTTTAACCTTTTATTTTATGTGTAATCATTTTGAGCTCTCGGTTCCATCTTCTGACTGTTTACAAACCAAAACAATCAATTAATAATAAATTATTTAATGATTTAATTAATGAATGGAGAAAATGATCAGCAGCTTTTACATTAATGTCATAATAATCTAATTATATCATAATTATAAGTGTGTTGGTCTGCTTTTAGTGCACGAAAGCTTCTATATGAACATTTATTATATTATAATTATAGTATTAATATATTATGTTCATAATATATATATATATATTAAAATATATAAT